GAAATGAAAAAATGTGATAAAAACAACCAATTGCAAGCCGAAAATCGCCTTTTTCAGTTCGTCTAATTTACTTGTCTAAAACATATTGCTTAAAATTTAAAATAGAATTACAAAAGTAAAGTAGAAAAAATTTATTTTCAACTTGAAAAGTTTTTATTTTAATCTTTAAACTGAGATTTCTTATCATCTGGAAAATAACATTCAAATTTCTTCAGAATTAACGGGAAATATAAAAATTTTTATTGAATGATTTCTCCTAATTTTCTGATTTAAATTTTAAGTTTTTATGAAATCTAAACAATTCATGAGTCAAAAATTGATCATAAAAAATGTTAGACTTCCAGAATCTTCCAAATGTAATTATGATCTAACTTCATCTGTAGAAGTGATTTTGTGGGATGTATTTAAAATACAATAATTTATTAGTATTACGAATACTTATGTTTCAGTATTCACTTACATATTTTATGAACTACTAATGCAATAGTCCTAGCGTATAGATCATCGATTATTTTTTAAATTTAACAATAATTACGTACCTTTCGGAGTTTGGTTAATTTCTTTTCTGATGCTCTCGAAATGTGGAAATGCAGAAAAAAAAAAAAAAAGAAAGAGAAATCGATCGGTGACCTGTTTTATAGCATATGTCGTATGTTAATTTATATTTATTGTGCATTTTCCATTTTCAGGTCAAGTAGCCCATCGGAAGAAACATTTAACGGAACTAGTGAATTTATGGAGGCGTGTTCATCGGCAATCAAAAATCACAAATTATTTCCCATTGTTGAAGTTAGCTTTTTTTATCAGAAGTTTAAATTATTTGAAATTTTTAAACAACAATAATGATAATAATGACAACAATAATAATAATAACAGTGACGATAATGATGGTAGTAATAATGATCATAAATGATGATAATGATGATATTAAATAACAATAACAATGGTAATAGTAATGATAATAACAATAATGATAACAATGATAGTATGATAATAATAATAATAATAACAACAACAACGATAATATGATAATAATAATGACAGTAACAGTGATAATAATGATAATGGTAATAGTAATAATAATAGGAAAGAGATGTGATTTTCATCATATTGTTTCGGTTACTTTAGCTGATGTCGAGAAAGTGTGAAGTAGCAACACAGAATCTGTCGGAAGCATCATTTACTATGGATGACGTTTTTCAGGTTAGTCCTTGTTAAGATTTATCAAAAATTTAAATGAACTTATTGGTAATTCAAATCAAATAACAATACAATGTTTTCCCTAGCGATAATAGTAATAATAAGACTATACGCGTCTACATTATTTAATTGATAACAATCTTAAAAATTGTTTAGGTTTACCATAATCCTTCCATGATTTGCTTAATACTATACCACATAAATTATAATTACAAAAAAAAAAAAAAAAAGTTTAAAGCAAGCATATTTTGGCAAATGTAAAATACACAAAATATATATTTTACAATTTGTCTATTTTATAGCAACTGATGGAAATGGCGTCGAATGGTGATGAATCACTAGGAAGCAGTGAACTTGATATATTTTTAATTAATTCAATAATCATGCTTCGTTTACACTTATTAGAATTGGAAAAAGTAGCCGAATTATGTGATGATTTCAAAACGAAATATTTGCGTAAGTTAGTAGTTATTTGAAAATAACTTCATTAAGGTAAGATTCATTTAAAAAATGGCAGTAATAAATTCTTTGTTTATGATAGTATTAAACTGCTAAGTGCATGATAATGTACAAATTTAATTATTAATTATCAATGATATTGAAATTATACAATATTATCGAGTTATTAATTTCCCTCAATTGTTAAAGTTTTAAATAAAAATATTGTAAAATTTTGTAAATGATTTCAAAAAATTTTCGTTCCTTTACATTAATTTTCTTTTCCTTCCAACTTGTAAAAGCGTTTAATGCTAAATTATAAATAAATTAGAATGCAAATATTTTTTGTTCTTTTTTACCACAATTATCAATTTTAGAAACGCTAAGGAAGAAAATAACGCAAGAATCGATGATTGGATACAGTGGTGATAGCGATGATGAATTATGTAATTCATCACCTGAGCTTTCAGAACAGGTATGAAATATCTAAGATAAATTTAAGCATAAATGTTTCTTTTTTTTTTTTTCAAAGGGAATTTTAGATTAAACCTGCAAAAAATTTACGAAATGATATTAATAGTTTTGTGAAATGAAAATTATCAAGTTATAAAGGTTTTTTTTTTTTCTTAATTTAAATTTGTTATCATTTATGTGTATGATTTCAGTCTAAGAATCGAACATCACAACAGACAGTTGCAATGATGTCTACATCAAAAGGAATGGTATGTCTTTTAAAAAAAGAGAAAAAAAGAAAAGCTTCTATGTTTTCAAAGTTTTCCTTTTTTCTCATCATTATTAAGACTACGATAAATCTTAATTGTTTTTTTTCTTCTTAGCTTTCGATACCACTTTGGAATGCAATAGCTTCACATTCATCATCAATGCACACTTCGTTATCCCAACAGAAAATTTCAGGATGTTGCACATCTTCTAACGTTTCAATTTCAGAGGTTTTTATTCACATATCAAATTTTCATTTTTATTTAATTGAAATTAATTTTTTAAAAAAAAAAAGAAAAAAACTTTTTTTAAATCTCAAATTTTACTTTTTTTTTCTACTTCCAGAAAAATGATGCACAAGAATCAATTGAAGAAGACAGCTGTGATTCAAAACGAAAAGCGCAATTACCAGCAAAAGCTGTTGAATTGCTAAAAACTTGGCTATTTTTGCATTCATCTGTAAGATTACACTTCTTTAGATTAAATCAACTAAGATGAAATAAAATTTCATTATTTTTTCTTCTTCTTTCTCCTTTTTTTTTTTTTCTCTCTTACTTATTTTTTTCGTTTTTGCAAAGAAATAATCAGTGTATGACATGATTAATTAATAAATTCACCAGATAATTCAATGCAAATTGCAATCCTGAATGAAAATATTTGGATATTATCTCGACTCATTTTCTTTAGCATCCATATCCGAGTGAAAAAGAAAAAGCTGTGCTATCACGAGAAACCGGCTTACAAATGGTTCAAATCAACAACTGGTAAATTTCGAAGCAGAATGTTCGTTTCATAAAATGCACAATCTAATTCAAAATCTTAAATGCATATAAAAATCAATGTTTCATCATTAAGGATTTTTCCTGATTGTTTCATCTATTATTTAAGAAATGGAAAAACTAAATGATTAGTTATTACAGGTTTATCAATGCTCGTCGTAGGATATTGGTACAGTCAAAAGAAAGTCCTGATATAGATTTCATTCAGGAATCAAGTTCTAATACTGATTGCGCACTAATTCCAAAGAGAATACGTAGGTTAGTTGCTAATTTTTGCAACGAATCTTAGAATTTTCAAGATTGTTAACATTGAATTTTCATCCTGACTTAACAAAATACTTGATATTTAATCCGATTTTCATTGTCAAATTAAAAAAGGATGATAATAACAATGATGATGATAATAATAGTAATTAATAATAATAACGATAGTAACAATAATAATGGTAATAATACTAACATTAATAATAATAGTAATAGTGACAACAATACCAAAAATTAATAATAGTAATAATATCAATGATAACAATAGTAGCAATAGTGATAAATAATAATAGTAATAAAATAATAATAATCAGCATGTAACCTTGAAATAAAGATGATTCCTGTTCCATTTCTCTTTTCTTCGTTTCTAACTTGAATTAAACATGCCTTTTAAAATGATCAGAATGAATGCTTAATTATTTCATCAAATATGGGTCATATCATATTAATTATTAAAGTAAATTTTCTCACTGAATAGAATCATCCTAGTTAATTAATGATTTCATTTTATTTTAATGAAATTGTATTGCTTTAAATCTTATAGTATCATATCATTTTCAGAATGCAACAGTGATGGAATTCAGAATGAAATCTGAACTGGTAATTATGGACAATTCTCTCTAAATCAATATGATTCGTACGTATAACATCGAATTTAAATTCGAATTTAAATTTGTATGCTTATTGCAATATATGAATATAGCTATAGTAACAGTGTCAATATTTTTCAATGAATTTGTCATAATGTTTTTCATTTTTTTGCTTTATTGGTTGATTTGTGCATTAGCAAGGTGATATTATTATTATTATTATAAGAGTTTGGAATTACTTCGAAAAATTGTTAATTTTTTTTTTTTAAAAAGTGAATTCATAGATTAATTTTCCAATTATTTATTTTTGTCCAATTATAGAAAATTTTCGTTTGAACAAAAAAAAAAAAAAAATTACATGCTATTCTTTGAGTTTCTTTGTTTTTATGTGCTTATTTATCCTTTTTTTACATTCTTCTTTTTATCAATATATTATTCCAATATTTTCCTCTTATTTCAAAACTTTAATTTTTGGGAATGGAAAAATTGAAATATTTTTATTTACCACATTGTTAAGTACTCCTCTTCTTCCTTCTACTACTACTACTGCCACAAATAAATTTATGTTTGCAGTATTAAACAAAATTAAAAACATATGCATTTAAAAAAGGGACTAAAGTGAAATTAATTTTGTTTCTATTTTCCCAGTACATACCATTGTCATCCTATTTCTTTCTATGAATACAAAGTGATCAAAATTTCCGATAACCTAAAAATGCATCAGTACATCGTATTGATTAATTGCCGATCAGTTACAAACCATATTGCTAAAATGAGATCAAATTTATTTAGCAAAAAGCAACAATAAAAAAAATTTTTTGTAAAAGAGTAGAAACAATTTGACAATTATTAAGTTTACGAAATAAAATTATATTGCTAAAATGACAAGATTAATAGATGCAAAAGGGAGGATGAAAAGTGATAGATAGTAATAGTTTGAACTAACGATAAACTCAAAAAAATAATTCATTGAGATGATTGATGTCAATATATTATTGGATCAATGTGATTAATGATTGACCACTTTGGATCGCTTTTCGAAAAATGATTTTAGCTGTTCAATTGAACCTAACTAAAATAAATTTCATAAATCATTAATAAGTTATTATTCAAGTAATTTATATTTGAATAATACAGTATGTCAAATTGACAAAAATTATCTATTCTATCTTGAAATGTAAACGAGAATTTAAAATTCTAAGTTAAGCAAGAGTGATATTTCACATTACACTATTAATAATAACAATAAGTCTCTTATTGTTGATTGATGTGGTAATTGACAATTAACAAATTGTTTTTACCTCTTCCACTGTTGGCATAAATGCATTGCTTTCATTATACATTTCTGCTGGATTAAATTTAATATCAAATACTTCATGTTCTTTCAACATTTCTTTGTCATTTATTGCAACTAAAAAGAGAAAAAGCGAATGAAATCAACAAATTTAACTGAATAATGCATATCTACTTTTGATAAAAAAAAAAAAGTTCGGCAGTAAATTTTTTCAATAAATTATTAATTCAAAAAAACTAACTTTTCTTTGCATCATTAACTGATACTATCTTTTCGAAATTGTTGTGTGTGATTTTTTGATTACCATCAAAATTTTGTCTTCTTTGTGAAACCGATACATAACCTGATATAATTCTGTCCCGATGTTTTTGCACTAAGTGATGATCTTTAATGTTTGTTTTCTTATTTTCTTCCATCTGACTTCTCTAAATAATTTAATATATCAATTATTTCTAATTTCATTCATCAAAAACAATGTAATTTTTGCAATATTTAGTCAATTAAAATTTAGTAAAGAAATAGAAGCATAGCATATTGCATTCCTGATTTCATTGGGATGATTTCAGTAATTAAAATATTGTAATTTTTGCTAAGTCGTTTTTCCAATTAATAGTTGAGAATAAGCAATGGGAAGTTAATTTTTATGTTAACAAATGCTCAATTTAATTATTAGACACTCATGTTCAGGATTAAAAACAATGAGACAAAACGTTTTGCAAAATAATTTGGAGAGTTAATTTGCGAAAGACATGAAAAGCCTATAAAATTAAAATCATATTTGATTTCTGATAAGCTTGCAAATTTTAATTTATATTATTTAAAAAATAAATCATTTGAAAACCTTTTCCTCCATTAATAAATCGTATTTCGGCAACATCTTTGATCCATCTGCTTCATTATCTTTTGTCCACAATTTCACATATTGACGAACATTTCTGACCACACGAATTGAATTAAATTTTTCATTTTCTAAAAAGTTTATCTAGTAATGTAAAAATATATATATATTGTCATCAATAACTACTTTTATGCTTCGCGTTCTACCATCAAGAATGCTCAGTGTTATCAGGGATAAATTTTTGTTACCTGTAAACTATATTCAGACTTAACTTTTAGTCCTTAACTTTTACATTATTTATGTTCTAGTCCTTAACTTTTAGTCCTTAACTTTTACATTTAAGACTTTTTCGATTGTCACGATCATTAAATTCTCATCTTGACATTCCCGAAAAAACATAAAACATTTTTTCCAAACTCATAATATTCAAAAACATGATGATCATTTCATTAATGGATTATGATATAAATTGATTAAATTTATTTTTCCATCAATTAAATCTTTTTTTTTCGACTTTTCCATCTATTTTATATTATCTTCTAACCGTTCGAATGTTTCAACTGATAGATAATTTATCTAAAAATGAATCACAAACACTTCACGACAAGCTATTAAGCTTGGTAGAAATTTTTTTTGATGAATTTTTTTAATTTTGTTTTATTCAAATATTACATCAATAATTTTATACTTTTTATTCTATTGGTAACAAATTGAAATCCTCGTATGCGTTTTCGTTTTAATTGATTTTATCATATTTCTTTTCCACATAAATTGGTACATTTCCAATATTTATCCTATATACATTTTTTTTTTAAATCTCAAATCTTATGAACAAATCCGCTGCCATATTAATTTAAAATGTTGTTTAATCGATTATGATGTATTATATGATTGCTTATGTCAAAACTGCAATTATTTTACAGATTTGAGATATCTTTAGTAACTTCAAGGATTTAACACGATTTGCGAAAATTTCTGCTTTATATGATTTAACAAGTTATTTTAAAATTTTTAAAATATTTTTTGCTGTTTCCATTTTTGTCACTCAACTTTAATAGCTTATAATGGTTCTTTCAGCAATCAAAATCCAGTTTATATTTGAGTAAGAGAATATTTTCAGATTTACTATTCGCACATCGTATACATTCTTCTGGTAAACATAAAATTTTTAAAAATCTTTATCAAATAAATTATATAAATTTTTTTCTCAAATTAAACTGGTTTTACGGCTTTTTTTTTTCAAACATTTTGATAAAAGTTTTAAAACGATTGATGTCAAAAAAATTTCCCTTTTTGTTTTTTTGTTTTCTTTCCTCTTTTTTATATTCATAAATTATTTTATAAGTGTTTTTTATTTCATTTGTTATTCCCTTTTTTTCATTATTTACAATCACTAAAGTGGCTTAAAAAAATTCTTAAAGTTGGAGTTCAAAAGTCTAAAAATAATTCAAAACTTTATGAGCTTTTAAAAATTGCAATTTATTTGCTTCGACCCAATTTTGATCTTTTTTCACAAATTTTGGAATCAGCTATTTTTTTTTCCTTTTTTTTTAATGCGCATATCAGCAGATGTTTATTATCATAATCTTTCTCTTTTTCTGATTTTTTTAAATAATTAATGTTTATTTAATTTTAATGTGTCGAGAAAATTAATCAATCAATCGTGTGAAGTATAAAAAACTTTTTAGAACTTTAAAACATCAAATAGCTTTCATATATTTCATTTAATTTCACCTTTACATAGTTGGAAAACTTCATAAGCTAACCTTATTTTCACTCATTATTATATTTTTCGTTGCTATAAGAAAGGCTACTTGTCTTCAGATTCAAAAAAATATTATTCGTTTTTATCAATAAAACTTCTGAGTTACACTGACAGCAAGCTTTTTTTTTGAAAACTTTTTAAATTATCAAATAATTTGTGGAAAGCCTAACTTGTCAATTACTTATTCACAAAAATGTATTACTTACTAAAAAAATAAATTATAATCCAATTTTAGCAATTTACAATTTTTGTAAAATATTTTTAAAAAATAATCGCATTTCTTAATTTTACCACTTAATTGTTCAAGAGAAACAGTGTTACGAGATGAATTAGCATTAGACTTTGATGAATTACCTTAAAGTACTAACAGGTCTAAGTAATGAAAGTAATGCTAATTAAATTGAGTAAAAAGGTTTGAATTTTATTATCATTATTCATCAGTATTCGATAAGGTTAGCAACAAAGAGACGCATCAAAATAAATGATTGAAATAATTTTATTTGTTTTATAACTTCGGAAATATATTTTAAAAAAATTTTAAAAAAATGAAATTTTTAAAATTTGCGTTAAATTAAATCAGTAATCTGCATTTAAAGATAAAGTTGGGTGGCTTTTTCCTTTTTGTATTATTTTCGTCAGATTGTTTCGTTGCTTTTTTGGATTTACTCGCAGATATTTCATTCATTAATTTGATTGATTTAAATTTTTGCTTAATCCAAAAAATGTTTCCGGTACATATGGAAATTTATAAATTATTTCAAGCATAGATCTGGAAAAAAATTTTTGCCAATAAGCGTTGATTTTTTCATACGGTATGACACCGTATACTGCAGAATTCTTATGGTAAAATTTTGAACTAATTTTTATATGGTATAATATTGTATAATTCGTACCGTATAATTCATACCTCTTACTGTATAATTTCCATACTGATAATCTATGTAATCACTGGGCTGTTGTGGCAGTTTCAGTGAAATCATTGGAAATGTTATCATAGTGTTTGATTAGCAATGCTTTACTGTAGTATCTTCCAACCTATTTTTAAAGGTACGGTGTTTGAATTCTCTGTTTTCAATATTTTTTTCAACTTGATTATGCTGAAATACGAAATAATTTAACTAAATGATTTCATCAAATTTTTTAAACTTACATAGAAGGAACTTTTTTTCCGAAAAACATCAGGTTAAAATAATTATGGCTAACATTTCAATTGATCAAAAATAAAAGAAATTATCGAAAAAATTGACAGAAAAGAAAACAGCCATAAAATTTATTACTTTAATCTAAATGATTATTCTCAGTCTTAATCTGAATTGGATGATTTTTTTAACCAAAATTTTATTTTGCATAGGTAAATTGTACAAAATTTGGTATTAATTATGTTTCAAATAAATAAATGTTAATTCTCAGCATAACTATGTTATAGATTATTGGCGAAATATTTTTTACAGTATTAGACATTTTTTTTTTTAAATGAATCATCATAAGCAAGTTTTCTTAATTTTTCAAAATAAATCATTAATTTCGGCTTCTAAACTAATTTGTTGATAATTGAAATCGTTATCAATTTTTCGAAAAGTTCTTCGTAAATTGATTAGCTTATAAATGTTAGGCAACAATTATAAAATTTCCATTGCAATAATTACAAAATAAAAAATGGTTAAAATTAAATTTTTATATCTCACAAATCATTGTATCCGTTCTCCAGTTATCTCGTATATCAATGATTATTAGATAATCTGAAGTATAATCGTTTGAAACAAACATTGAATTAGATGAAATAACTTGTCCTATCTTGTTCATTAAAAGGCCAGAAATTTTTTGTATTCCCACCAATTGAATATATTATCAATAGCTAATTGTGCCGAACAGTAGATTAATCTTTCATGATTGCTGTTACTTAATATTCAATGTATTACTTAATATTTAATCAAAAATTTGCAAGAAATGGATAGTAATAATAATATTAATAATAACAATAATAATGGAATATAATAATAATAATAATTAATGATCGACTTTGATACAATTCAATCCTACCTCAATGTATTTCTAACAGTGGCACATGATACATCAATTATGAATTTCTTCTAATTTCTTACAAACCTTGTCATTGTCTTTGGAGAATCATATAGTACGATTTTTTTTTCTCTTTGTTAAAGTTCAAAAAAGAACAGTTGTCTTTTTTAAAAATTGATTTATTCTTTTTTCTTTTCTTAGAATAGCAGTTTACAATTTTAATTTTATCTCTTTTATCTTTTTTAGAGTTTTATATTTTTAATTACCATATTCATTTCTTTCAATTTTTGCCTTTTTCTTAAATTTAGCTATTCCAATTGTTTCTGTTATACTTATTATTATACGTCAGTATGGGAGTTTTTCTTCATTCTTTTAAATTTCACTTCATATTCTTTTTTTTTTTCAAATGTTAATATCAATCAGTTTTTTCATCATATAATAAAATTAAAATTCCATTTTAAAACAATATTAATATCCCATAATATTCCATTTCAAAAGTCTTAATCGTCAATATAATCACTAATTAATCAATTTTTATCTTTTAATCTTGTAATAATTGGAAAAAATTCCCAGCTAAGAAATTATATGCTTATTTGTTACAATCTAAGTTCCTAATTTAAATCAATTATATCCTTAGTGCTATCATATTTAACAATTATTTACTCGATTTTTTTTAAATTTAGCAAAGTGTTGTGTCATCTATTCATTATTCGTTATATGCATTAACTGAGTTAATATATTTCATTTCATGAAAATTACAGACTAAAAAAGTTAAAAATTCATTTGTTTACAATATTGATACTATAAATTCCGAAGAAATTTATTAATAATGCATAGAATGTGTATTAAAAATATTACCTAAATTCTATAACTGCATTGTTGAAAAAGAAACTGATTGGAAAAAGCTAAAAAAGCTTTTCTCTGCCTTATAATTTTTATTTACATCAATCATTTGAATTAACCTTTTTTTTTTTTTTTTTTTTGATCACATTAATTAATATAGGAATATTTTTACCAAATCAAGTGAAAGAATACTTATATGTCATTTAAACTCTATTGGTATTCACCAAAAAATGATTGTTAAATGCACAGTATATCAATTGGTAATTAATTTTAGCATATATATTTAAATATCTTTTAAAGAAATCAAAAAATATTTAAGTGTCATACAATATTTTAACCATTAATGGAAATATTCGTGTTTATTTTATACTATTTTATGGAATAATTTCTTTAAAATATTGCAATTCTTTACGAAGGAAAAAAAATAAAAATGAAAATAGAATTAGGTGTTTCTGCAAAAATTACTTTCGTAGTTAATCGATTTTCCATTCTTTCTTTTAAATATTCTGTTATTTTCTTCAACTAAAAAAAAAGAAAAAAAAATTCATTTCATTTATTTGCTTATTTATTTGCATTAAAATTTATGCTTGCAGTATTATTTTAGACTAATACAATTAGTAGTAATTCTATAATATTTGAGAAAAATTCAATTAATAAATTAATAATTGTATTCGTCGTCACTACTTAGTGAAAAATTATGGTTTTTTGATAGCTTTCTTGTATTAATTAATACACTAAATGTCAATTTCTAAATGATATATATATATGTGAGAGAAGGAGGCACAGAGAAAGGGAGAGAGAGACAGAGAGAGAGAGAGAAAGAGGGAAGGAGAGAAATATTTTAACAGAATTTTACATCATGGATTAATTGGAATTACAGGACAGAATATTTATAGATAATTTTAGCTAAAAACAGATGGATTTTTGAAATTTACAATACAGAATACAATAATTGATTTTTAATGTTTAAACCTAATAAAATTTTTATCATTTATAAAAAATATCAGTGAGTTAAAGGAATATATTCCTAGTAAGAAATTAGGGATTACAAGTTTATTTATATTTTAAAACTATAATAACTGAATTTGCTTTCCTTATTTACTTTACAAAATTCATATCTTCACACTAAAAAGAAAAAGAATACATTCTAAAATGGCGAAGATATTGTTAAGCAAATAGAGAGAGAAATTTTTGTTGATAAAATGTGATAAGTGAGGTACCTTTTGTGTTGCACTGTGCATTTGATGAGAATTTTACAGGTGGCAAATAGATGGGTGCTGCAAATACCTGACTGAGTAGATCTGAAAATTGTTAAATTTTAATTATTAATTAGGAAAAAATCAGTTTATTTTTGCTGAATTAAGAAAAATAAATGATAAACGAAATGAAATGCTAGTAGGATTTCGAAATTATAATTTTATTAATGATCGTTCAAAAGAATATAGTTGATTTCAATTTTCATAAAAAATTCTTTTCATTTGAAATTTTGAATTTTAAAAAATTTTCCAAATAAAGTTACTTTTCAAAAAATTCATTATTATTTTTTTTTTTTTTAATATAAATAATAATTTAAAGATCCTAATAACTATCTCTAATATTCTTATTATCTTTTTATCTCGAATTTTTGATTAATGACATTAAATTTATGTGGTAATCAATTAATTTAATCCATGTACTTATTAAAATATAGCACTAATACTTCAGAAACACAATGTTTTAATTTTAAAGGAGATAAAAAATGTACCATCAATTTCTGTATTTGCCATTATTTTCACCTGCTCACCTGAAATATAATTTATCTAAATTAACACTGATTTCCCTTACAATAATGCGGGCACATGATATCGTGATTGATGTGATATGATATTGTTAAGTGTAGAAGTAGTTGAAATAAAAATAAATGGTCAATAGTAATTGGAATATTTTGATAAATATGATATGATAATTATGAAATTTTTGCGAAATTTTTTGCGAATGAATAGAATAAACAAAATAATAATTGAAATCATAATTCAATAAAACTTTTTTGATAAAACTTGAAAAGTTTTTGGATAAATATTTTGCTATATTTTAATGCTTAGATCAAAATGCTAAACATGGAAATTTATCGCATTTCAATCTAAAATTTCCATTAAGTTATACTAATTAATATTGTAATAAGAACAAAAATAGTTTCAAACTCTAAAATTTTGATAGTATAGTTAAACACACAAATGTTGATCAAAACTTTTACGAAAAAGCTTTTAGTGCTTGATTCATTGATTAATTCTAACAATATTCGAATTCGCAATGATGTCTTTAATTTTTTATTTTGAATTTTTTTTTTTCATTTTTAGAAATAAATTTTATTTTATCATAAAACATAAGCATGAGAACCTTATTTCTAATCATTTTTACTTCAGATTATTACTATATTTATGGAAATGAAAAGTTATTTATTTCAAGCAGCACTAACGTTAATTTTAGAAATATATTATAATTATTTTTCAATCAATAATAAATAAATGTATATGTATAATCTTTCTTCTTAGAGTAATTTTAGCATTTATCAATAAACATCCTAGAAATATTCTATTCTTGCCATACTATCAATTTAATTTGAAATATTACAACAAATTCTACTGCTAATTTAATATAAAATATCACCAACTATTAGTATAATTAATTAACTAACCAAATGTACAGTAACAAGGAAGGAATGTTTGAAATAATATCACGAGTTAAAACGAAATGAACTGTTTTATACACATTGCAGAGAAGAATAAATGTAAGCAAATATATTTGTCTTTTTCCTTTTGTCTGTCACCTGGATAGTTAATATTATTTGCTAAGACAGCGTAATAATTAATTGTTATAGCCAGTAATATGATAAATTTGTCATCTGATAAGAGAGAAGAAGAAAAGAGATTAATAATTTGAAAAAAAATAATCATCAAATATAGTTCTTTCGTTTTTCCTTTTATTATTAAATATTTTATGCTTTTTTTTTTGCTGCTTAACGTGCATTTTCATATTTTTTTTTCTTCTTTACATTAATATTATGTAAAATCATAAATAATATACTTTAATTTCAAGTAAAATGTAAACTTTATCTTATTTGGAATTAACTGAGTAAAAGTTCGTTTTTTTTTTTCATAAGCTTCATTACTGCTATTTTGTTAAATCTTTTTTTTTTTTTAAATTTTTTTTTCCTTTTTTTTTTTCATAACAGTCTTTATGAAATTTATATCTGAAACGATAAGTGTAATTAACATTAACATTTTGTCCTTTTTTTTTAAAAAAATTATTAATGTTATCTTTAGAAATTAAAATTATCTCAAATTGAAATAATTAAGGAACAAATAAGACATTTTAATTCAGAAGAAATTCAATGACTTCTTCTTACTTATCCAAGAAAAAAATGTTATTGTTTCAATAGCTAGTAATTTAATGAAATTTTGTTCACAATAAAATTTTAAAAGATTTCATTTACTATTAAATACAATAATGTATGATAATAGTTCATACAAAAATATACTTAAAAATATATTTCACATATAAAAAATAAAATACATATTTTTAAAACATTTCAATGTTTCAATTCGCTTCTTTCAAATACCATTTTTGTGCTATCTTAAAATATGTTCACTTAAAAAAAAGGATAGTAAATGCTTATGTTTATTTAAAAAAGAACAAAAGTAAATTTTTTTCCAAAAAAAATAAGGAAAACATTCGGGTCATAACTCATACATCGTAAGATAGATGGCAGTCTTTCTTTTTATACAAAATATAACTTAGCAAAAGGTAAACTAAATATTTTGCAGTTGATTAGCAGGCAGAATATAATTTTTTGTTCAGATGATTTTATTATTTTTTATGGGAACACTAATGATAATGTTCAAATTGATGATATGAAGTTAATTTCCTCCGTCTAAAATTATCAATTTTAAATTAATGGAATAGATAATAAATTGGAACTTTTACGCAAAGTTTGATCTTTTGTCTATTTTAATAACCACATTTAAATATCATAATGGATAACTGATTAAATTTTAATAAAATAAAATGTTGAATTTCGTATGAGAAACTGGAGCCAAAACTTTTCCCAACAACACAGTGCCATGTAGGACCGAATCTCCTCTCGAATTCTTCTTTGATATAAAATGCCATATCCTAAAATTAGTTATTAGAGTGTCGATTTATAACTCTTATGATTATTCATCCAAATTTTATGGTTTTATAGGAAATAAAATATTAAAATTTAGATTAAAAATGTAATAGTCAATTAAGTAGTTTTATCTGTGAAAAAATAACTTTTTGATTTTTTTGATTTGCATTGTCAACCTTTTTTTTTTCAAATCTTTTTCTAAAATAAAAAAATTTCCTACAACTTCTTCAAATTATAGATTTTGTTGTCATCGATGAGTTAAAGCGATAACAATACTAAGGTAAAATTGCTTTATTTTTAGCTGAATACATTTTGCATTCAGAATCTGAAGACTTAATTTAAAATCAAAATTTAAACACTAAATAGTTATTGTTCATTCATTAAAATTGCAGCAATAAGATGACATTAACCGAAAATATAAGAATAGAAATTCCTCTATGCTACATCATTTAGACAAAATTAGAAGAAATAATTAATTACTTTATCGAGTGAATACTGTTTTTGTGCTTCCAAAGCAATTGCCATACTTTTCTGAATCATTTCTGATTCCATATCTGTTTCTTTAACTTCTATTTTATTGCTAATCATATTTTTTTCTTTTCTATTCCTAAAATTTCCTAAATAAAAATCTCGTAAAATTTATTAGCAATGAACTAACAGAAGTAAATATGTGGAAAAAACAATCAGGCTGAAGCAAGCTATACTAGTTTTGCTTTTCCATATGTTTCAAATAATAAAAACGGGCCAAATACCATTTTTGGAAACTGAAGTTTTGAAAAATATCAAAAATATTGAGTTTAAGAATGTGATCAAAAGTTTTATGGAATTAATGGGCTATTGGAATTTTGAAAATTTTTTTAAATCCAGAGTGAAACGAGCCAACTATTCAGGCATATATGAAAAATTAAAATGCATATTAAAAGTAGAATTATTCTCAAAAAGAAAAAAAAAGGAACGAATAAAATGAAAAAAAAAAGTGCTTAATACTGTCAAACAAAACAGATAATAAGTGGAAAATGATAGCAATGATAGCGATAATAATAACAATTTCTGTTTTAAGAATTGATTCCAGAAAATTTTGAAGGCAGAGAATACTAACAAAAAGTATTAACAACAATAGTGCTAAATTAGTAAGAATAACGACAATAATATTTGCGGCACTAATAATAATTAGTCAATGACAATAACAATGATAAATAATAGTACAGTGATAAAGACAATAGTAATAATTAATTATTGTAGTAGTAGTGATGCAAAATTTGGTAATTCATTTTAGATCAATTGATAAAACTAGTCAAGAAAAATTGATTTCAGAAAGTTTTGATTGTTAATGGTAAAACTTAAAACATAAAGAATTGTGTTATTCCTATGAATTTTTGAAGAACCAGTAAGACGAAAGATCGACTATTAATTTTAAAAAAATTGCAGTAAAAAGCTACAGAAGTGACAAATAAGCTTGTTTATAGCATAAATAAATTATAAAAGTTTTTGAAAAAGAAGAATCTTTGACAATTTGATCATCTATGATTACAGCAATGATTTTCTCTTTTTATTACAATACTGAAAGTTGCAGGAACATTAAGGACGAAAGTGATATTGATTCTTTATTCCCTGTAAATGAAAAAAAAAAAGTTGATTTCAGAAAGTTTTGAAATTAAGGAAACTTCAATCATTAGCAAGCAAAGTGAATTTGGAATTAAAAAATATGCAATAGTGTCAATATTAGAGGGCAAAGGGTAATAGAGCTTTACTAAGATCGATATATATGAACGTATTAAAGGAATAATTGTCACAAATATTTGATCATTTTTCAGACTACTGAAATCAGCAAAAGAAATGAGCCCTATAGTTGAAATAGAAATCGATATTGTGAAGGATAAGAAAACTGTGACTGCAAATAGTGCATGCACTGCTTGCATCCATGCACTGATAGCGATAAATGGTGATAGGACCTATTTACAAGTAATTGAATTTGGTTTGGATTCGTAAAGAAGCTTTTTAATTGAGCATCTAATTAGCTGCATGATAAATCGGTAGCTGCATCAACAGCAATTGTAAAAAGACAAAAGAATATTGGTGTCAACTTATATAACCATGGAAAAGTGAAGAGAAGGATTATCATTTGTGTCACCAAGTTGATCACTGACTCTATCAAAATCACACGAATTAATTAAATAATTAAATTGCTAAAATAGAATTATCGTCAGAAATAAATGGTACCTTTTTTTTATATATAAATGGTACCGTTAATATTCGGTACCATTTATACAAAAATGGTGACAATATAAAATAAAACAATTGCGTATAATGTGATAGAAAATAAAAAGCAAATATATAAATAATTTCTAGAAAATTTAGGAATCGAAAGTAATAAGAAATTCGAATGTAACACGCAAATTTCACAGCAGTTGAAATAACGAAACTAATTGGTATTTCACTCATATGATAGAGATAAACATACTGATAAAAAAAAACAAAAGAAAAGAACGAGATTTATTATTCGAAATGTAAAACTTGAAAAGAAAGAAAAATGAGTGGTAATTTCTACAGTAAAAAGAAAATAGTTGAAAACGATTGAAATGAATCAAATAATATGAATAAACCTTTGGCCAACAATTT